AATCAGCCATAAAATAATAAAAAATTTATCAGTCGGTTTTGGCATAAATCAGCTATATTTTTGCTATTCATGTATAATATCAATTACCAAAATTTCGATCAAACAAATTAGGACAATAATGGATTATTTTATTCAGGTCATTTCCTAAATTGGTAATTTCATAGTATGCAAATTGGGAGATCAAAAAGAACTGCATGCATGTGATATAATTGTTGAATGCATTCCAGCACTAATAGTGCTGGATTTTTAATGAGTTATAGCATATATCAGTGTGTTTGATGTATAATTGGTGTCTTAAGCTAGTGATTCCTACTCGCATAAATGCAGGCCGGCTATTAACCAGAAGCTTTGCAGTCACATGATTTTGGCTAGTAGTTTTCCACCTGTATAACGCAGACTGGCTGTAAAGAGATATTTAAGCTGCTACAAAATGGCAGGATTCTGCTGAGAGAGGGTAGGGCAGGGCAGGTTGTGAAATTGTTTTGCCTCTTGAAAGGGTTCTGTTGTGCTGCTCTACTACTATCTGTATGTTATTGTCATATGTTCCCTGCATTAGTATTCGCTCCATAAACTACTAAATTAGTATTTTTCATTAAATTAATACTTATATTCCTCCCTGATTCTCTTGTTGGAACTGGGATAACCCATGTAATCATAGCTTGTTATGCATCATTGCTTAGCTGTCTTTTCAATCTGTTGATCTACTGTTAACTTGAATTATTTCTTTTGTATTCCCTTTTTAATACCATCACATATATATTCAACAGCTGTTTAACTAGCAAAAAATTTGAGCACTACTTTGCTAGTGCAGTGCAGTGCTTTGAAATGCTGCTATTGCTAGCACTAATATAGGTATATAGAGATATAAAGATAGAGTATCTTACAATCGATTGAAATTTGTGAAACCCAAAAGTAGCTAACTTGAAGAAAATCAATTACAAAATAAATGCAATCCAACCAAAATTTCCCAGAAAGGTAATTCAGCATAACACCAAATGCTTCTAAGCGCCAACTAAATAAATTAAATAGTTCTTATTCAAAAATTGGGTTTTATCATTATTGGTCTTTCCCAATTAATTGAGGAGCATGAGAATAAATTAAAAATAGTATTGACAATTGATTTTCTTAAAAAAGTTAAGCAATTATTTTCTGTTTTAGTAAATAAATATGCATGTAATTAAAATTTTTTTAATGCAGTCTTAAATAATGGATTTCCTTTTTTAATCTCTATTTGGTATCATTTTATATAAATACGATAGCTGTTCGTAAGTGAAATTTTCTGAGCGCCAATATTCAATATGCTGCGCGTTGCTTCGATTCACAGCGCAGAGAGAGTATAGAGTATTTCATACAACTTGTTGAATTTTGTGAAACTCAAAATTACTAAAGAAAGCAATTTTGTAGAAAATCAATTTCCTAAATTAAATTTTATCACAGCCGTTATTACCCAAATAAGCAATTCGGCGTAGCACCAAACTCTAACAATCGCTTCTGGTGAAAGAATTTCCTTTTATAGATTAAGAGGAAATTTTAGACGCACAAAGGCAGCACAAAATACGATAAATAGAATATCGTTAATTAAAAAGTCGTTCATTAAAATGTAAAAACTTCCAAGAAATATATATGATTTGTTAAAAACTCAAAAAAACTGGATTCTGGTACTTCAAATAATTTATTCGCAAAAACTTATTCAATGGGTTTCATAGTGGCAATATTGTAAACCTTGGACCTTCAATACCAACAAATGTAAAACTAATATAGAATGAAAGGTTGTATTGGTCGACAAGCAAATTTCGCATTTAAAATCGATAGCTTTGACAAAAATTAAAACGAACAAATATATTAACTTTATTTTATTTTTTTTTTACGTAATATCTAACAAATTCGAAATTATATAGCAACATCTTTTTTAAAAAAAAATTCTCAGCTGAAAATTAATTAATTAATCAAAAGCAATATTTTTAGCTTCAGTAAAAATTTTATCTGACTTCGATATTTTAAACCAATAAAAAAACGTTTAAAAAACTGTTTAGACCGTTTTTTTTACGATCCCTAGGTCCCGTATGCGAATACTATGAGTAGAATCTTCGTTTCCGCTAATACCAACGGATCAATGGCATTAGCAAATATTATTTAAAGAAAAATGATACGACAAATAATGGCTCCAATAATTTGGCTAGTGTTTTTGAGGACTGAAACACTTCTATTGTATTATTCGGATGTATTACTTGGAATTGTAGTATTTGGAGTAAATTCTGTGACCCATCTATAGGAATCTTCTGGTTTTCATTTAATAAATATACATTCTTGATGAATTATTTGTATTTAAAAAATTTACCTGCTGAATAAACAAAAATTTAACAAGTTTAACCAAGAATTATATATAAGCAAAATAAAGGCAACTAAGTTATATTTATTAAATCATACATATAATTGTTACTACAAGCAAAATTTGCATAAAAACAAACTTGTTAATATAGAAATTTTTAATATAATATTAATTCAATTGAGTTTAACTACATTCAAATAATAACGTTTAAAAGTTTGAACTAAAAATATTAAAAAACTAATTTGATTTAATATATTTTTTTAAATCTTTGGCATTATTGTTGTGAGATTCCATATGGCGTGCAATATAATTATTTTTAATAAAAAACTTATATTACTTTCTCAATTTAGGTTGATTATCTCAATAATCTAAATATTAAAATGTAATAGCAAAATTATAATAAGCGAAATTTGCTCGATTAAAAGTTTTAGCATAATACTTGCCAATAAGAATTTCGACAGGATCGATAGGTTTGCTCACTAAACACAAAACAAATTAAGTAAAAAATACATATAACAAAATTTTTTAAAGTAAATACCTTTAATCGCAGTCGAAATTTTTTGTGTATTAATCGTTTTGCTAGTATACATAAAGTCTGGGTGCTTTGGTAAGTTAACTGGTGATTTTTTTCCCCATTTTATCAGCACCTAAGAATTGCTTTTTAATTTCATCATCAACAGAACCTTCCATACTTTTAATCCGCTCTTGAAATTTATTACGAACATACAAAGCATGTGGTCGTTTTTGTGGATCAGACTCCATGCATTGCTTAACCAATTCAATATAGCATCTAGGAGTCCCAGGTGCAAATTCTGGCCTCAATCCATTGTAAATCTTTAGTGCAAGATCAATATCAAATTCGTGACCATCAAATGGTCTTTTTCCAGTTGACATCTCTGACATGACGGCTCCAAAGCCATAAATATCAGCAGCTTTTGAAAACACTTGTCCTGATAAAACTTCTGGTGCAACATAAGGCATGACGCCATAAATACAATCTTTTGAATCATTTTCATTATGCTTTTTAGACAACCCAAGATCTGAGATGTATGATTGTATACTTTTGCTAATGCCTTCATCTTGCAAAATATTACCACTATGAAAGTCAGCATGAATATATCCTGCATAATGAATGTTGTGTAAATCATCTGAAATATCCGAAAGTAATTTTATTTTTGTCTTCCAGATAAGATCTTGAAAACTTTTTTCAAAAACTTATGAAGATTTCCATCAGCGGTATATTGAAATACCATCAAATATTCGTCTGTTTCTGTGTTTTGAGTTAATCCATAGATCTTTAGATGGCTACCAAATAATCTACATTTCATATGATTATTAAACTTTTATAAATTCACATAATTAATTAGCAATTGTATGTTTAACAAATCATAATAAATAAATAATGGTTTGATTTACCTCTTTCAAAAAAATCAAAAGTGTTTTTCTTAGGATCTGACAAAGTCTTGAGTGCAACGATCCTGATGATTCACGTGATCGTTCATAGAAATCGTCATCTGTTTTCTTGATTTTTCGTATACCATCTGACCAGATCGCAGAGTATACACAGCCAAATCCTCCTTTACCAATTTCTTCAATAATAGTTAATCTCAAATGGAATCCATTCAATAATATTCTCATATTTTGCAGTTCTATCTTTATTTCTACTTGTCCACTTTTGAATCATTAGTTCAGGATCACATGTATAACACCAAAATTCATGTGTGTTAAATTCATTGCAATGTGTACAACGCCTATATTTAGAATTTCTTAATACCATTATTTGTATAATATTTTATATCAGTTATTTCATAGCTTTTAAATTTTAATTCAAATAATTTTATACTTGCCGACTAATTGAATTGATTATTTAAATTTGTAAATTATCTACAATAATAATTACTGATTTAAAATTATATCCTTTATACTCACTCACTAAATTAACACAAATAATGAATACGTAAATGCTTTTCATACTCACAATCTATTAAATAATGAATATTTGTGAACTTAGTTTATTTTAACCACTTAGATTAATAAATGTTCTTTATACTCACAATTTAGAATGAATTAAGTAGCAAATATTCAAGAAAAAATTAAATAGCTTTTTTAAATATTAATAAATATATATATACTTTACAGAAACTTTCGATTTTTGCGATTTATGATTATCATATGATAGTTATATAACTATTATATGATAAAAATATGATAAAATATTTTTAATCTGTTAAGTTACTATTAACAATATTTTTATCATATTGTTAAGTGTTAAGATATTAGTAACATTATTTAATTATTTTAAACAGATTGCTATTATATTATTAAAATATTATTAAATATTATATTATTAGATTGCTATTAGATTGCTATTAGATAATTACAAGATAATATTAGATTATACTTATATTATAAATATATGGTATTAATCGTGTTAATAGTGACTTAACAGAATTACAAAAATATGTTTAAAGTATAATAATAATACTTTTAATATATGTTTATCATTTATTTATTATATTTTTTTAATAAAATATTTTTATCATATTTTTATCATATGATAGTTATATAACTATCATATGATAATCATAAATAGCAAAAATTCAAGTTTCTGCTAAGTAATTTAATAAACCTTACACGTCTAATCTAGCAACTGTTTGTCAGACGTATAAAAATGTTGAGCAAAAAACAATTGAAGCCATCTATAAGTTCCCACTTCATGAAGCCGCAGCGGTTTGTGGTTTTGAAGCTGAAATTGACGGAAAGAAAAAAGTTAAAGGAATAGTCAAAGAAGCAAAGCAAGCTGCAAAGGAGTATGACGAAGCAATTCAGGTAACATTAAGTAACCATATTTAAATTTTTGCGCCATACATATGCTTTTTTTACCACATAAATATTTACTTACACAGCAAGGTCATGGGGCTTATCTACTTGAAGAAGAACTCCAAGATATTTTCCAATGCTCTATTGGTAATATTACAGCCGGTCAAACTATTGCTATCAGAATTACATATGTAACCGAGCTAAAACATGATACTGAATCTGAAAATGTTCGGTTTGTTTTCCCTACTACTATCGCGCTACGATATGGCTCATCCGATTATTCTTCTTAAAATGATGGGAAAAAGCTTGTTCCTGATGTAGTGTCCTATACTTATAAGACTGATTACTATTTAAAGCTTGCTATTACATGTGGAATGACTTCTGTTATTCAAAGTATCGAATCACCATTTCATCATATTTCGGTAGAATTAAATATTGATAGTAATCCAAATGTTTCAAAGGTTACTCTAGCCGAACAAATTACTTATTTAGAAAAGGATTTTATACTTGTTGTTAAAAGTTTAGGTCTCGATCAGCCAAGATAATGATATTTTTAATATACTATAATACAGTATTGTAATTATTTATCTCTTTTAATTAATGAGGGCTTTTTTTCTGACTTTAGGGCCTTTGTCGAATATAATCCTAAGCTGGAAACCAATTGTGTTATGTTAACTTTAGTACCAAAGTTTGCCATTAATGAAGTAATGTCCGAATTAATTTTTGTAATTGATAGGTAAATTTCAAAAGATACATAATAAGCGTTATCATGTCATGGTATTAAATAAATTTTATGGTAATAGATCTGGTTCAATGCATGGTGGACATATTAATAAAGCATCCGAAGCACTCCAATTATTTCTTCGTTCATTACCTGAAAATTGTCTTTTCAGTGGTATCATTCGGATCCCGTTTCGATTCTTTATTCAATAACTATATATATATTACAGTATTACGTAAAACAAATCCTTATTCGCAGCTAACCGCATAATTGATCGTCTATTCGCAGTTATTTGCAGACTTTAAAAAGGATTACACAAACTCAAATATATCGATATAAATATACTTATCGTTTAGCTTGTAACACTTTATAGTACAGTGTACAGAATACAACTACGTATACTTAAATAGTACACTGTGTTCGTTAATATTCCACGTATAACTTACTTTTGTTCATTAACAAAAGATCTTACCGTAAAAGCGCTCTTTAAAGTACCCTCTGTGACAAATAATGTAGATCAATTTTTTAAAATATTATTTATATATGTCATGTGAAATAAACAATTGTGTAATACACGTGATTGTTAATTTTTCACCATGTAAAAAATCGTATCACACCGGGTACTTTAAAGAGCGCTTTACGGTACGTGTTCGTAGACTGGAAGAGGTTATGCACCAAGCAAAGGTAGCAATGGTCTGCTGTTTCGAAGAATTTATGGGTTTAATAACTCAATACTTTTAATACGTAGCTCAAGATTATTAATATATAGCATTGCAAAAATATAATATAAAACTTGCCATCTTCTTGATATTTCTTTGTTTCTCAATCTAAATAATAAATATTACAATGGCTTCGTGATAAAGATAATAAATTTATGCACACTGTATCATAAATATATAAAATTAATATCAAAATTATTTTTATTAAAAATATATACATAAAAATTCAAATTACATATACATATAAACTATATTTAATGTATAAATTTGGTAAAGATATTGGAAAATATATACGTACGTATGTATAGTGTTTATACGTACGCGATAATCTTAAATTTAGTATAATTATGTAAATTCAAAAAATTTTACCAATTAAAATTAGGCAATTTACACGATGCAAAAATGATTGGAATAATAACTAGTGGGGTTTTTGCCTTAAAATAACAACATAATATAGTATACGTATAATTACTATGCCCCATAAGAACATGTTCAAGGCAAATATCCCAAGTATTTTATTATTTTAAACCGTTTTCAATTTGCGATTTATAATGTGTACTGTTTTTCAGTACGTGACTTAATATTATGTATGAAAAGCAAAACTTAGTTTATCAGACTCGTATAATTTATTCACAGCATTTCAACAAACGAGAGTATAAGCAATCAATCAAACCAGTATAATGCCAGAAAAACATGAATAATGTTTAAAAAAAAAGTTATCAATCTGAAGAGATGTATGCTAATACATCCACTATATAGATTGATACCAAAATTGATAGTTAGTCAAATTTAAATTTGAATGGATCATTTGAAATTGAATTACTCTTACATTATCTCAAAGTTTTCAAGGATTGCAATTTAGTGGTGGTAAAAAGATGCAGGTCTACTGCAGAAATCGAGAAAAGAAACATGTTCAATAATTCAATAACTTTAATAATTATAATGCGATATTGCACAAAAAAAAAAGCACCATTTTACTAATATTTATCATCGATTTTTCCCAGCATCCAATGCTCACGGTACATAGTTCAAAGTATTCCTAGAAACAATCATTTTGTCAGTAAACTGGAAATAAGTAGCGGTCATAATTGGAATATAAAATAATATCGTGGCATATTTAAAGCAGTAAATGAAATTTAGAAGAAAAAAAAAAAAAAAAAAAAATAGAGGAAGTGCTGGGATTTGTTAGATTAATAACGACCGCGACTCTTGCTTCGACTGCGACTTTTAGAACGACTTCTTATGGAATAGCTTCTGCTACGACTTCTCGAGTAGTACGGTGATCTAGATCTACTTCGAGAGCTATACGAATCACTATAAGAATAGGAACGTCTACGACGTACAGGGGATCTAGATCGTGACCGTGAATAGCGTCGCAGTGGAGACCTTCCACGAGCACGGTAACTACTCGCCGCAAAACGTCGAGGTGGAGGAGGTGGAGAACTGTACCTTCCGCCTATACCAACATTGTTGAACAAATAAATTAGAGATCATAATTAATCTTGATCAAGCGCTTTAATCAAGTTATCAGATAATACCTCTACGTCTAGGTGGTGGTGGTGACGGTGGTCGACGTGGAACAAATGCGCAACTGAGTATTGCACCGTCAAGTTGTCCCTTTAACAGGCAAGTAAAAACGAGTAAATTACGAGAAATTCATTTGTAAATATATGTAAATATATAAAAACGCAATAAAACTTACACCATCCATATAACTTATGGCCTTTTCTGCTTCGGCCCTGGTATCATAATCAATAAAAGCTGTACCCTTGTTCATTTGCCCTAAAAGACAAATATAAAGTTCCAGCCATATTCATTCTTTTCTGATTTACAAATAATGAAATAAATACTTGCATTTTTCATCCACTGCCATTTCAAGGGTTCTGATTCGTCCGAACGTACCGAAGATTTCCTGTAAGTGAGAATCAGTGACATTTTTTGTCAGTTTGGTGACTTGAATTTTCGTAGGAAGGGGGGACAGAGAACGTCTTCTACGAGAGTACGGTGAACGAGAACGGCTACGTGAGTAAGACAAAGAACGCGACCGACTCCTGCTATAAGAACGAGAGCGGCTCCTGGAGGAGTAAGAGTAGGATCGACTTCTAGAGCGTGATATGGAGCGCGCTGAACGACTACGTGAACGGCTACGACTTGCTGTGTAAGAGTTTGTCCTAGCCCTACAAAATCGATGTATTGAGGTACGAAGCATTTGCAAAACAAGATGCCCATGGAAAAAACTTACATTGGATGTATTAAAAAAGTCTTACACGTATGATCGTAAGCTAAGAATATCTATAAGTTAAAAAAATTTAGCATATTTAAATATTCTGTTCGAAGCATCTTATTGAGATGCCTTGCACGTGATAATAAAATTTGATAATCACGTTATAAAGTCTCGATTTGTGAAGAATTACGACTTCGTTCTTTACAACAAATGGCTGCACCAACGACTTCAACCAATGATTTATCGTGGGTATTTTTGCAATTTCCCGAACCTTAGTATCATTTTATATCGCTTTAATTCTAAGTAATATATATTCATTCATAGTCAAGAGGGACTTAATGCATCTATAGATTTTACCCAAGGTATTTTCGGGTTGCTTCCAATATTGATCTTGAATATTAAAAGGGTTGAATGTAACAGCTTATATATTTAATAGTTAACTTATCGGAAATGAGCTTGGCTGAAACACAGAACCATAATGACATAGAATCGTTACTAATTCCACAATACAAAGAAATCACTTCTTTTTTAGACGAAGTTGTGGATGGTACTGTTTAATTCTTCATCTGATCAATTGCTTCTGAATTTGTATAAAATCTTTATCAAAGCTTGAATTTGATCCCTTTGTAAAGAATAGAATTCGAAATCGGTCAACTTGTTCATCTTGAATCCTTTGGATTGTATGATGCGATGAGTTCAATCGAGGTATATTTATTTATTTATATTCTGAATAAGGACTGTGTTTGACCTACATAGCGTTAAATTTTAGATTATGGATCCAAAAATGGATAGTGGAATGATACTTGATAGTGATTTGAACAAAAAGCCATTTGAAATAAAAGCTCAATTGAAGCCTGAGCAAGTTCTTTGGATTATGGATCGATTATTTATTTGTGAGGTAGCTTTATTGTCTAATATTTATCCTTATTTATAAATAATGTTTACCTTCTTTTTATTTTCTAGATGACATGGCACACTGGCCATTCTCTATCTCAAACTTTGTTTACTTGCATGTATCTGCATTATGTTCCAGAACTTAAACCGGAGTTGTTTTCAAATATTACTGATACCAGTAATGATATAGCTGATCTAAATGCTGAGACACCTATAGAATTTGTTATACTAGTTCTTAAAGCTTATGTTATGGGCACTGTTAAATGTTGCCAACTAGTTTTAGATGAAATGGCAAAAGGAAACGTGTATGAAGTAAGATTTTTAATGAATTCTACAACGGCTTTCATAATTTTTGGTTGTTAAAACAACATCCATTACTTCACTCAGGAAGAAGATTTTGCAACGAATAAATATGGAATTTCAATATACGAAGATTTTCCAGAGTCACAAGCCATAAAGTTACTAGATGATGCTGAGACTTGGATGGAACAATATGGTGGGCCGTGGATTCGACTGCATGGTAAATAATACGGGTTAACCTTCGTATTGAAGTGTTTGATCGTAATATATCATTTATTATACACTAGGGTATGAAAAAAGTGAAATTATCATTCGCGCGATAGTTTCTAGACTTAGTCTACGAAAGGCAAGTTTCTTTTTTATTTTTTTATATCAACTTCGAATTCGGCTAATGTATTACTTTACTGTATAGTCCTTTCTTCTAATTCTCATGCATATGTCACAACCGCGCTGCCAACAATACGGACAAGCTCAAAATCAAATTTCGATTGCAATGAAGCTACTGAATGGTTCTCAAGATGAAATTAATGTAAATAATACATTAGATTTAGGAGTTGAAGTCGAAGGAGGTAATATTCCTTGTGAGGCGTTTCATTGTTTCGCACAAGATTAGCTACGACATATCATCTTAACCTTACGCTATTGCCTATTCATCAGCTTTTGATCCTTTGATCAATCGTAAATTAATATCACAAACACCTCCACGACCAATTCGTCTTTTGTCAGCACAGGAGGTAATGTTATACTAATTATTCTATTATTGATATTATTTATTGCAATAGTCTACTTATGTAGTATGCTATTCATGAAACACTTAGTCCATTGACGAAATGCTGAATATGTTTAAGAGTCTTAATTCGATATGTGAAATAATCGATTATAAATCAGCAACTAGCTTAACGGTAGTGTATTAAGGAGAACTTTTTCATAAAGTTCATTTAATAATTTATTTTCTTTCCTTAGAGATTTTTGACATACCACGCTGCGCAGCAGCCAACACCTTGCGCATTTTCAAGGTCATTATTACAGGTATTCAAATATATATTATAATAAATGCTTATTATAACATTATCATTTGATATTGATCTGTTGCTTTCACGTCAGTCAACTGTTTATACCGAGAATCGGATTCTTGGCAAAATATCTGTATATCAATTGGTAAAAGATTCTGTAACAGAGTTAACAAACCCACCATATGTTTATTTCACGGCCAAAAACGAAATGGACATATTGACTAATGGCGCACGTATTGATGAAGCAAAATATAAAATATCAAAGTTGATACATACATTTGTTGATAGCACTATGAAGGTAACATTTATTTTTTTAACAATGTCAAATTAGCTATTTCTAATATAGTATATTGACTTTGATTCAAGCCATTGACAGACTATTATCGGATTCTATGTCATAATCGTTCAAGGCAACGACGGAATATGTGTAAAGTGCTCGCAGATTGGGACTTGCTGCAAGAAGAAGTAATAAATTATACATGTGTTATAATTTCATTTAAATGCAAAAAAATTATATATTTATAAGCACATTTATATATCTCTTTCATCAGTCTGAACACTTAGACATTGAATTGCAGTCAATAATTAAAGAAGAGCCGTTAAAGACAGATGTAGGTAAAAGTATTGTTTAATAGTGCGTTGATAATTACGTGAACAAGATTTATTAATCAACCTTTCCTTAGGAAGGGCAATCATATTCTTTCCATCTTTCTTCATGGGTTTACCATCACAAATTGATTTTGATGGAAGAAATTTTATTCCTTGGATTTGAGCTTGAATTGTACGGGAATCATGAATTTGTAATGATATATTGGTAAGTTTTTATCCATATTTTTTATGTTATGATTAATTACATTCAAATTTAAACAATTTCCATCTGTAGGTATCTTGATTATTTATTAGGTGTTCATTGTCAACACCTAGAGAGGATACATATGCATGCAACAGGTAATATTTTGATGGAATGTATATAATTACTTTTAGGTGCTTTTCGAATCATTTTTATATTTTTATTTTAGATGATAGAAAGTTCAAAAAACAGAAAAGCCTTCAATATGCACCCTCTTCATTATCAACTGTGCCATTAATAATAAGTTACCAGACATTTGTTGTGGCTCGGCAAGATATATGTCGTGGGATTCGCAGGGTGAGAATACTTTATTTTAAAAAAACCTTTTTTGAATTGATTGAGTTCACTAAATATATGCATCTTACTATTCTTCTTTATTCGCACTAATAAGATCATAACTGCGCTCCAAAAAACAGGGCACTTTAAACCACCTCAACTAGAATTTGATAATGAAAGTACACGTTTTTGGCATAGATTTAAGGTGTACCGAACCTTAGGGAGCCCAACGATGTTAACATTCCAAGAACTCAAAGAAATGACACAGTTAGACAATATTACGGTACAAATTCACTTCGAGATAATAAAAATCTATTTTATTAGAAATGTTCTATATTTAAACTTTTAACACCTAAACATTATACCTAGACACTCGACCTTTTTAATGTGTCTCTTCGGAATTTTCAGTCAGCTAGAACTTCGATAGAAAGCTTACTTTCTATGAAACCTTCCGACACTAGAATGGAATATTGCCATGCAGAATTCATAAAAGTAAGTTGTTATATCATAATGATTCAAAGTCTGTATTAATGTCACAACATTTTCATTCTTATAATAAAGGACCTCCGGGCCATGCTTCGAGTATGCATTGCAAATATCGTAAATTTACTAAAGATTATAGATGAGTTTAAATCGATCAATGAACCAAATAAAAATCAAGATAACGATGGAGAATCAAATAAGAAAGGGCGTAAAAAACAAAAGCAACGACAGCAAAAGAATCGACAACAATCTTTAGCGACATCTGCAACAGCAGCATCAACATCATCACAATCACAAAATATTGTGATTAATAAAGTAGTTAATTTTGATTTTAAATATCATCCATGGTTTCCAGTGGTCACCTTAAAATGATGGTACAAATTTTATTCTAAAAATTTTAGAACCATAATATTAGAGATTATTTATTTATTTTTTTTTGGTGTCTATAGATAAATTACAGATGAAAAGTGCCGGCTTCAAAAGTATCATAGATATATATGCGTATATGTATATATTTTTTTGTTATTTGATGGGTTTTCAATAATTTTGTGAAGAATCAAATGCTAATACATAATAAAATAATAAAATATTAAATATAACGAACGATACGTGTCTATAAATTCGAGAAATCGTTTAAGCGTTTTATCTAGTGTTTGTAGTCGATCCTTATTTATCGTTATCGACTTGACTAAGTCGATATTTAAAATTCGGCTTAGCCGGTTAAGTCAGAGTCGATTAATATTTTTTTACCTTCGGAATTTATCGGAGCTTTCATCAAATTTTTGTCGCGACCTTGCTTGCATTTTATTTTTCTTCGGAATTTTTCGGCTCCTACTCTTAGTACTATGTACCAAGAGAGGTAATGGGATTGGCACTTTAATGCTCTAACATAAATCGACTAAGTCGATTTTTCGGAAAATCGGCTGACTAAGTCGGCTAAGTCGATAAAAATCGACTATGCGAAATCGACTAACACACTAGTTTTATCTAAAATTAACGCCTGCGACAGATTTATAACTAATTAACCTGCAAGAGACAAGAGCATCAAACTTTTTTTAATTTCGGTATTAATTTGATTATACCCACAGTTACTATATTGCATAACAGAAATTTTACTGCATCGTCAATATAACGATGCATCATTTTTTTCAACGCGATTAAAACCAAAGTACAAGTCGCGTGGATTGGATTTAGATATTCTTAATATGATTTATTGCTTTTAATGGTACATAATATTCTAGTATGAAAAACCAGTATAGTCGAACCTTTCTACGTATAAGCATATCTATTTTAAAACTACTGTATATATGCTATTTTATCACTGTTTTCGAATTAGTGATTCATTGAATCCACTACGTATTGCTTTGACATGGGATTAAAAAAATTCATTGATCGCACTAATTCGAAAACAGCGATAACATATAAAAAAAAAAAGATCTCTATATAAGCACAATTATCAGGACTTAGAGAGTGGAATCGGTGAATAATTATTCGGGCATCGATCGAAAATTTCGAGCGAAATAAACTTCATTCATTGAGTTTTTAATTCGGTCAATCGAGCATCGGTCAGTACAATTGATAAATTTAAAAACGTAGCAATAGCAGTACAATTGATAAATTAAATGTTACAATTTTTTTCGAACCGATGCTCGAAATTTTAGAGTTTGTGATCAACCAATGCTTGAAACTCATCGATTCCACTTTCTAATCAGACCAATGAATTGAACATTTTAACGGATAGATTTTCTTGAAATTTTATCATTAAAGAAATTTAGTGCAACCAAAAAAATTGACAAACGTTTCCTAACATCTAATTAACTACTTTAAAATTATCAATGACATTTTTGAAATTTTTGTTTCCGAAGAGATGCATACAAAAGAAATGGTGATGAGGTAATTTAACTAGATGATTCGAACGATCTGCAGACAGTCCAAAATTTCAAAATGTATAACACTATGTACAAGCACCGTAAATTACTTTCTCTATTGTCTACAAAAAAGTTTTTTTTATTCTGATTTGTCATCCGTAAATACGTTAAAAGCTTCTTTTAATATAGTTCATTATTTTAAAGAACTAAAATTTTGTGATGCGCTTCAAAATATAAGCAAAATATATGCTTTAAAATTGAAATGTTTTCTAATATTATAATGATTGAACTTTACTATTCTCTAATATAAGTAAAAAATAAATATTGTAAAATAATGCGTTGAGTTCGGATATATAGTCTTAAATTTCACCGGATCGAAAAACCTCATTTTGACCTGCCATCATGCTTCATAAGTTTGTCATAGTAACTACGCTTGGCAATAGATCCGTCAACCTTTGAAGATCCTAAGGCCAGGATACAAATAATCAAGATAAGAAGAGTAAGATTTGATTTCATTTGGAAAGATATTAGAATTTTGATCCGTTTAATGACAATTTAAGAGAGAAATGTGTGTTTTTTTTTTTTTTTAAGTTGAAGACAAAAATAGAGATGCATAAAGCTTATATATGATTTATTCCTTAATAAATTTATACAATAAAAAAATTTTAGTTAACTCGGATTCATTTATGCAAGTTATTAATTTTTCGTTTAGCTATTGGTACGTCAATATACGTCATTAATTAATTTTAACAATTGTGTGTAATAATTAAAATATGTAACGATTTGAGTAAACCTTGCTGATTAGTCTTCGAAAATTGTTTTTTTTTTTTAAAAAAAAAAAAGTATCTTAACAAATGAATGAGTGTAATAAAAAACATTAATTTTATAGGTCTTATCCAAAACTTCAAGGAAATGAATACTCAACGAGGAATTGCAATTTGGATATCTTTAGACAATTTGCACCATATGCAATATATATTCTAAAGTCTACTACAACAGAATTCAATTTATCTTTCTGTACAGATAATTAATCACAAGCGTGTCATGTTACAGTCAGACCTCTCTAAGTGTACGCCCTTGGGACCACACTTTAATAACGTGCATATAGAGAATAACGATAATAAGAAAAAGTGCATTTATACGTAGAGGTAAAGCATATATTTGGGCTAGGGTGTCTAGAATTCTGCAACTTTTATCCGTTATTTTCTGCACATAATTGTACAGATTTTTGCAGCTAATCTGGCCGGCACTACTGATATTGTTTGGTATATAGCTCTATGTAGGATTATTGATTTGACAAGACAATTGTATGTATTATTTCGGGCTAACAAATTAACCATAGCTGCCGCAACAAATTTGTTGCGGCAGCTATGGTTAATGGCTAACAATAAACTACGCCTCAGTTCTGCAAATCCAAAACCATCAGACCAATAATAATACATTATTTAACTGCGGATTCTGCGAATTCTGCAAATTCTGCAGAAATCTGGACACCCCAGCACATGCATTTAGAGAGGGTGTGCACTTATAGATATGCTTGTTGGTACGTACGTAAAACCCGAACAAATCCCAAACCCTAAAAATATAATTGCTATTTATAAAAAATTAAATCAAAAAAATTAATCTATATAGCTATATATATATATCTGAATTGTTTAAATAAGAATTATTAATAAGATTTTTAAGATATAAGTTTGGTCAGAATTTGGGGGTTTGCCAACGACAATTATGCGATGGCCATGTAAAGGTCTTTTTCGATTTTTAACAGCTGCCCTACCTTGGAAAGTGCATCGGGAGTACGTCAAGTACAACCCAGGTTTGCATAAGGAGAGCATATCGAATACAAAGTAAATTTCCAATTATATTGGAAACTCAAGAAGATGCTCTCCTTATGCAAACCTGGGTTATACTTGACGTACTCCTGATGCACTTTCCAAGGTAGGGCAGTTATTAAAATCGAAAAAGACCTCTGCTGAATGGCCATTGGACCTAACTTGACGGGATTGGAAGCAAATTTACGTGGATGTCCACCAGTAAAGATTTTTATTGGCTGGATGGAACTTCCAGTGACTTCCAATGACTTTCAATAAAAAAATATATATATAAGCAATTTTAATTTGTATAATATACATATCTATTTGGCATATATAGGTACGTACTTGAGTGGTAAATTGACTAAATGGGCTGCCGTTACGTAATACGTATTGACGACAGCCCAAATAATCAAAACTATGTCAGCTATATTAATTGTTTTATTATGGTCAAAATTTTTATCAAAAAAAAATTATTTTAACTTCTTTTAGTCAAAAATGCTGTATCATATTCAAAATCCCCGAAATTAAATCGTGGAAATTATCCGGCTTGTCTACTGTAGATTTTGTCAATCATGTTGCAGATTTTACAAAATATGGAGATTTCGGATAAAATTTCTTACAGGGTGAGTGCTGTCAATAGAAAACCTGTCATCGGGCTTTCAATGTTCAGTTGGCTTTCTGCATGCTATCTATGGGCAATCTATTCCGATGATAGATTGTCCATAGACAACATGCAGAAAGCCAAAGCCCAATGAAGGTTTTCTATTGACAGCACTCATATGTTACATGCGCGTTATCAGCTCAACTAATCAGAACAGAATCCAATACGGTACGGGCTAACTTGTCAGGATTTTTACCTTGCCAGGATTTTGTTTGTCAGGATTTGAACCCAAACCCGTTATCGTTCTACGTATTGATTTAGATTTTATGCGTTATTCATGAGAAAACATGAAGTTAAGATTGAGCTTGTATTAAAATTGCCGTGATTTCTATTGTGAGCTACTGTAATAATTTTTTTACAAAACTTACTCTTCTAGTGACCACAATATGTGGTTAGTTTGCATCACAATTATCATACAAATATGGTAATCGTTTTGAGCAAAGGTATTTTAAAAAAAATAATATTTGTATTATACGATAAAATCATGATTTCTCGTCAAAGCCTTGAGAATAATGCTATGTTGTGTGGCTTTGCTCTAAAAATGTACATGTACAGTAATTAGATATGAGGCTGCCAAGGGAAAACTTGTCATCGGACTAGTTAGCTATCTATGGAAAATCTTTCATAATGATAGATTTTCCATAGACGGCTAACTGAAAAATCCTATGACAGGTTTTCCCTTGACGGCACTCATAAGTAGTAAAAAAAAAAAAGTATCTCTACTCAGCCTAAAATAAATAAAACGTTACTGCAATAGTTTGGATTACCCTTATATAAGTCTTCTTTTTTCATTCCTTGTTATAAAATTTTAAATCCTTTCTTTCTTACACTACTGCACTGGATTGCTTTTGTGTTGATAAGACAATTGCCAGAGCTATTTGTACGGGTATACTTAGTCAAGCAATTGACTATGTGTGTTATGAGATTCAATATACTCATAATTACCATTTGGTAGCCCAGTACTTTGGCGAAAGTGATCATCTGTTCCGCAAAAATATGCTACACTGGCAATCATAAGTAGTGCAACAAAAAAAAAATTTCACTTACATCATACTACCTCCCGCAATTCCGGGC